GGCTATCTGGGTGAAATTAGATCTTAGAAAGTCTGGGATAGATTCTTTATCTAGAGCCCTGTTAGGTAACATACAAATGATGGTAAAACATGTGGAATGATTTAGATTTTTTTTCCTTTAATAGCATGGGTAGTCCTGCCTGAAACTGTTATTTTAGTTATAAGGGAGGCTTGATGCCTTTCTTTCAAAGGCCTTTGCTAGTAATTTATTGCCATGAGCAGAAAAGGTATGGTATGGAAGCATAACGGTGTGGTGTACCTTGAGTAACTGTTGCAAGTGATCACTTTGGGCAGTAAATTTACTAAACATTTCCTTAGAGGAATGAGCTTCATGGTCTTGTTTTAGTACATACATTTCTTGTATAATCTGAGATGTTAGGTGAGTGCATGCCTTTTTAATTTGGGATCCCAGTTTAATCAAAAGACCCCTAATCACTCCCTTATGTGTTTCCCAAACCCAGGGGAGAGAGACATCAGTTAGAAATGTCAATGTCCAAATAATGGACTAAAGTCGCCTGAACTTCCTTTAGCAGAGGGGTCATCTAATAAGGTTTCATTAAGTCTTCACTAGTTGTCATTTGGGCCATACATATTAACAAAAGTAAAATGCGCATTATCAATGTAGCCTTTAAAAATAAAAATACATTTTTAAAAATATGCCCTTTAGGTCATACAGAATGCCTAATAATGAAAATGCCATCATAGCAGAGTAAAATTTTTCTTGGATTCCCATGAATTAAATTACTAAAGTAAGATTGTTTTGATTTCATGGTAAGGGTTGTTCCCTACCTAAAATGAGTTAACCTGTATAAAATAAACTTAGGCATCAGACCTGGCAAATTTCTTAAAAATAGCCTTTGACATTGAGGAAGAGGAGTTTCAATTAAGCCATAGGTGGGCTAGTGTGAATTTCAAAATACTAGAGTGCTCCCAGTGCAAAGTCTGGAGAGGTAAAGTTACAGAGTTGCATAGCTGAAAAGAGAAGTGTGTCCATCAAGTTCAGCCTTTATCGCATTTGTTTTGTCTGCTGATTCAAAAGAAAGCAATAAACCCAGTTTGAATCGCTCCCAATTTTGCAACAAACTAGGAAACTATTAAACTATTAACCCACTAATTGAAAATGATATCCCTAAATATTGTGTTTTTGCCATAATCCAATTTCTGTTTAAACATCTGTATAAACTCTGATAAAACCACCTCTTCAGGCATAGAATTCTTACTGTAAAAAAACCTTTTGTCTTAGACTAAATCTAATTTCTCTGTTCGGGTTTTATGAAGATGCCTTCCTTTTCTTCCTAGGGGTGCTGTACCATTTGAAACTCTGGGGCCAAGGTTCCAATGTTACTGTAACAGTCCAGCCTAACCAATCCACTACAACTGCCCTCTGGAAAGCAGTCTCTTGATGTGAGACAATAAAGCCCCATCAGCTCTTTATCCCTTAGAGCATTATGCACTGCACTTTGAATGCCCACGTCTTCATTATTCAGGTTTAGGCACCAGCACACTATCCCTTTAAAATGTGCTTCCAATAAAGACAAAGTCAACAAGACTATAATAAAATTAATTAATGTATAATACTACTTATGTAAACTAATGAGGTATTGCAGCTCTGTCACCATCCCGGTACCATCTGTGCAGTTTGTCATTTTCAAAATAAGCACCTTATTCAATATTACTAAAGCCTCTTCTTGTCTGTTTGTATGCATTTTCACCTCATTTGTGATGCCAAAATATAATGCTGTCCACAAGATGGCACCACACATAAGACATAAAAGAGCCTCCTCTGTGAGAAATCTTGGTGGCAACAGAGGAAACTGTGTGACAGTTTGGACAGAGTTTCAGTAAAAACATTTTTGCCAGATAGCTACTATGCCCAAGCCATACTCGCCAGAAAGGGATATTTTTATTGTGATTTACAACAAAATATCTGCCAAGTGAATTTAAAGTATATTGTATTAGCACCAGGAATGAGCAGTTTAGATGTGGGAATGTGTTGGTGAATATAAGGTAAAAGTGCACATTTACCAGTTAATGGATAATTCTACTTGAACACAGGTGATTCAAAAGAAATACATGTATGGTTTTCTTCTTCGTCTTTTTCATGTCCAGCTTTGTGTATGTCCAGGCTTCCAATGTGTCCCCAGTAGCTTAATTTGATATGCAGAGCACTGGAACTGCATTAATATTTTAGTATCAGCACCATTATCTTTAACCCCAGTTTCTAACTGTGTCTGCTAGCTTCCTCGGTCTTTTGCAAAGAAGGTTAATAAATTAAGCTTAATCTAGTGCTTCACACAAACTGTCGTGGAGCAGCATGATTCTCTTGCAACAACATTACAGAAAGAAAGCAATTGAAGGTGACAATTTCAACCTGCAGGAGGAAAAGGGGGGTTCTATTCAGTATAACCCTAGGAGTCTCAGAGCAGTCAATGCACTTGTAGATTATAGGTGAGTGCTTGCAACAGTAAATGTATTAAGGGTATTGATCCACTGAAACTATTCCTCATCATCCCCTCTCTATTCTATCTACAGCCTCTTCATAACACCCGCTGTGCTTCATTTGTAGTAATATAATAATGTAGCAGAGCTCTCATTACCCAGTTGTGCTGGTCTTTTTTGTAGGAACATAACCATTACTGCCACAAGTGGTGCGGAGAGAGTATATGTGTTTATTGAGGGATGGGGCACCATCTCTTTCTCTCCTATCGATGAAAAATACATTTCAATAATGTTTCCCAGCTTTCGGGGATAGTGCAAAATGATTCAGTGAGCAGATGGATTATGCAGACAGACTGCAGTAAAGGCCACCAACTGCATAAATATGAAGCAAATAAGAAATTCAGTATTGTTTATATTGCAAAATTTAAAGATGAAACTTTTGGCTTTCATTTTTATTTATATTTTTAAATTAAGATTTAAATATATTTTCTGAATTTTATTTTAAGCCGTTTAGCTGTTTCTGCATTATTCTGTTGCTTTGACTGTATACACAGTATTAAGAAAAGAAAGCACATCGTCTCCCTACTTTAAAGAGATCAAATGCTAATTCTGTGCTCTTCAAGCATTGAGAGATAAAGACCCAACCGAGGTCACATCAGGCTAATATTAGTCTTTATTTGAACCAGAGTCTCAGGGATAAGAATGTCATCAAATAGCACTTTCCATGAGATTTAAAAGATGTTAGTAAAACATCTGATTCAACAAATGCACAAGGAGTTTGTCATGCATATCAATACAATTTCATACAGCTTTAACCATATGCAGATACTATGACATTCATTAATCAAAATGTAAATAAATGTGATAAGCTGTGTACACTAATGACATTCCCTGCACCCAGTAATTATGCTGTACTCCAAAGCAGCTCGGACATTACCATAATGTTTTCATGGTCATAGGTTTATGAAATAACAGGAACACAATATTGTATAAAAATTGTGACTTACTATTTCTATCCTACCAGGCTATATTCCTAATAAATCTCTTTATTTTGACTACAGTCCATAGTCCCTTAATTTAAATTCACTTAACATTTTAAAAGAGTTTATTCAATATTCAGTGAATTTGAGTGAGGTGCTGTAATCTAAATTATCTCAACATGGCTGTAGAGCATGTTAGAGGGGATAGCCTTTATCAAGAGGAAAATCCTTATTTATGTATTTTCTATCTCATTATTCTCTGTCTTGTTTGTTATCATAGTTGCAGATTTGTTTGACGAGTACAAGAAAGATGATTCAAAATAACTTTCCCCCTCAGACAGGCAACAACAACAGTGTTAGTGCCTATAAATGCCTACTGCCCAGTCTGGGTCAGAAGATGGCTGGTTTAATATTGGTGTGCTCAGAAGAAATGTTCAATAATGCTGTGGTCTGTCTTTATAATATTCTTGATTGTGTCTCTCTCTCTCTTTTCTTGGTTGGTTACTAACATTTACCCTTTGCATGCCAGTACAATTTTGATTTTTTTTATCCGCACTGTAGGCCAAGCCAATTTTAAGCACCTTGCTATGACTTACATTTTAATATTTCTATAGTGTGTATAATTTCATAAACAAGCCCATATGTTTTGTTTTATTTTACCAGATAAATTATACTTTTTATTGATACCATATGTTTTTTCCTAAAGGAACACTGTACTCAAAACCAAAAATGTTCTATTTTGAACACTGCAGTTGTAAGCCCTAAATAAACATCCACCCCTACAACAAGGCCCTTTAATTTTGAACACTACAGTTGTAAACCCCAAATTATCATCCATCCTTGCAACAAGGCCCTTTAATTTTTGAACACTGCAGCTGTAAAGTACGGACTGGGATTGAAAAAATATTCAACCAGATTTCTTTCATTTTGTTACTAGATTATTACTTTACTATAATGATACTACCATTGTTACATATGGTTTACTACTGAAATATTTTGTACTTGCTGTTACATGTTGTTATTAATAATCTGGGTGTTAGAGTTTTTTGGTTGGCAAATATTTACTTGTTTATAACAAATGGCTAGCTTGATCTATTCCGCCTCCCCCTTATTGCCACTCCTAGCTGTAAATTCCTTTTTAAGTAACTGTTTTCTCTCTCTTACTTAGCCCCAGATCATCATCATCGATCCCTGCAACAAAGCCCTTTAATTGTACTCGGCAAGCAATGCTTCTCCAGAAGAAGTAGTAACTGCTACACTGGAAATCTGCGGTGTGCACAAGTGGCGAGGTGAGTGATTGATAGCTCAACTTGCCGCACCATTTCTGCCTACTTCATAATCATAGGCAGCAATTTGTCTGCTTACTCAGCTGTGATGGGTAGTAATGTGCATTGTCTTAATATTTGTCTTAATATTTGACAATGTGAAAAATAGTGAAGAACTTGTCATAAATACAGCCAAGGTACACAGAGAGAGGGGGATAACCCCTAGTGGAATGGATACAAAACAGGAAAGGCGTGTACCTTTAAGATGGGGAGAGGACTAGTGCAAGTCTAAGCATTCTATGTCAAATATATGAAATGCAGGCTCATCTAAAAAGGACCACAGGGTCCAAAAACAAAAAATAAATTATTCACTGTTTAATAAACTTATTTTTTGTTTTTGGACCCTGTGGTCCTTTTTAGATGAGCCTGCATTTCATATATTTGACATAGAATGCTTAGGCTCGCACTAGTCCTCTCCCTATCTTAAAGGTACACACCTTTCCTGTTTTGTATCCATGTGAAAAATAGTGTTTTGTGTATAATAATTGTGGACCAGCTTGAGCAGTTAAAGACTAATCTCTCAAAGGGCATGCAATAATCTACAATTATCTGTTGTTAAACTCCTCTTTTCATACTATACTTCATACTGTGTGATATATGACAGAAGTATGTTGTTTTCTATTACACTGATATTTCTTGTATGTGTTCTTGATGTTTAACCTCAAGCGGACTGACCTTAAATAAAGTTGCATGAAAAATAAATTAGTAAACTCATGTGGTTGATCTTTAAGGTCCACTTTGCCAACCAAAATCTCACCAGGCAATCAGGGGATTATAGACAAAGGCCTTAGCTGAGATGTGTCAGGTGCACAAGTCCGACAATGATTATTAGACTGCGCAGTCCATTGACTAACTAGTTTGCATTTTTACATATTAAATACACAGTTCTCAATTCATGTCAGTTATGTGAATTCATGGAGTTTACATATGAGTTACATAATTAAAGCCAAAAAAGTTACGTTCGACATTCTCTTCTTTGTCAGCTATTTTATCCTTATCTTTTGCAAAAATAAATTTAGGTCTTAATATTGTTCATTACATATATACAGTCTTACATAGTTATATAGCTGAAAAGAGACTTGTGTCCATCAAGTTCAGCCTTCCTCACATCTGTTTTCTGCTGTTGATCCAAAAGAAGGCAAAAAAAACCCACCAGTTTGAAGCACTTCCAATTTTGCAACAAACTAGGAAAAAAATTCCTTCTTGACCCCAGAATGGCAGTCAGATTTATCATTGGATAAAGAAGTTATTATCCTACATTGAAAAATTAAAACCTTGAATATTCTGTTTTTGCAAGTATGCATCTAGTTGCTGTTTGAACATCTGTATGGACTCTGGTAAAACCACTTCTTCAGGCAGAGAATTCCACATCCTTATTGTTCTTACAGCAAAAAAAAAGTTTTGTCATGCCTAGGGCAGCAGGATACACCACTGGTCTTACCAGTGATTTATAAAGAGGCAAAATTATATTCTCATCCCGAAAATGAATGCCCTTTTTCATGCATGACAATACCGTACTTTCCTTAGCCACTGCTGATTGACATTGCACAGTATTAACTTTTTCCAATAATTCATGAAATGCCTTTATACACTGTCTGATTCTTTGGTGGCCTTCTATGAAACAATAAATTGGCAACCATTGTCCAAAACGGAGCGCAAAACCAACGAATTGGAAAAAAAACTAAAATTATGCTAAGTTTGAGACATTTTTTCTTTTGTTTAGGCCTATATTTTTTAAGCTGACTGCTAACTCTAGAGGGAGCTGTGGCTTGAAATTGTGGGATTTGATCTGGACCTCATTAATGGTTGCTACAAGCTGCCATTACCAGCTTTAGATTTTTAGTTTAAACGGCAGTATATTTTTAATACATTTATGGAATGAATTACACTGGAGTTTTTTTTTTTTCAAACTTTATTTTCATATTGCCATTTTCCTTTAGTTCAACAAAAATAGTAAACACTGAATCCATACGGGATCAGTGCAAGGAAAATATCAACCTGTACAACTAAGGGAAAAAAATTCATCCACCTGAGTTCTGGAACAGGTGTTAGAGAAAAGAAAATAAATATTTTATGTTTTGCTGCTATGAGACTGCATTAGAAAATAGAGCCAAGGTCCTTTGTCTCCATAGTGAAGCAGAAAACAGAACATAGATAGTACACAAAAGTAACAATAAAAAAGAAGCATTTTAAATGGAATATATAGATGAGTCAATTCACACAACGCCAAATGTGAAAATCACAAAAGTCTCTGCATTGTGCATAACTGATGCATCTGAATAAGAGAAGGGAAAAATATATATCTGAATGTGCCTCTTCTCTGGTAAATGCATGGGCACTGATCCTTATGCAGTGATGATCCTTTATAAACGTGAAATGCCTAAGATTCTTCTGCCAGATCTTGGTTTTATTGGACATGCATGAAATCGATATAGATATAAATAAAGTCACTTTCAGCTTCTTATTTACGTAAAGCCCAACATTTCAAATGGAGGGCAAGAAAGATATTATGAGTGTGAATGTGGGTGTGAACAACTCATGTATGTAAATGGAGGCCATCTGAGACTGTCAATCAGTAATCAGTTAGACTTTCAAGCAGTTCTCATTCATTTGAATTTCTCTTTGTGTATACAAGTTACTGTTTGTCTTGAATGAGAAAATACTGTACAGGTATTATGGGGAAGTATAGTTGTACTTGTCTAGGTGTTTTCATTGAGGTTATACAATAAGGTTAAGGTAATTCAGATATTTTGAGAAAACAATCCACCTGGCTTTGGACAAAAAAATCTTGATTTTTTTAAAATGATTTTTTAACAAAATCTTTATTACAGACATCCTTACCTCTTTCATTCATTAAGTACTCCTATCTAGAGAAAATGTGTCAACATTTATTTCCCTCACATAGAATTGTTAATGATGTCAGTGTTTGTTGTAAGTTAAGTGATCATGATATTTGATTCTCCATTTAAGCAATTAAGCTAAATTTCACTGTCGTTAGGGTCAGTGTGAGCGAGAAAAAAGAATAACAACCTAAATTTACTAATTTTATTCTCACCAAATTACCTACAAAAATAGTATTTCGATTGCAAAAAATACCTACATACACTGCAGACGTCCACAAACAGTTAAAGGAACACTATAGTGCTAGCATTACTAAGTCTCTGTGCCTCTATACACCCTCCAAATGAAAGAGAAAAAAAAATTCTCACTAATTTTTTTACAGCACCGAGGTTCCGAACTCCTCCTGCCCAGAGGTGATGGGGAACCTCATGTGCATGCACGACAAGCGCTGCATGCTTATTCAGCCTTCCCCATAGGAAAGCATTAAAACTATATGAAACAGCAGGAAGCACCATCTGAAAGACAGCTACTAGATGCAGTCTTAACATTGCAGGGTTAAGGGGCCAGGGACACTGCACTCATACCACTTCAATGAAATAAAGTGGTCTTGGTGCCTATTATGTCTGTTTAAATAATAATAATAATTAGAATAAAAAAAAAAAAACTTTACTACCGTCTAAGTTATTGGTAAAAAAAAGTTGAAAAAACTTGTGTTAGAAGTGTGTGCAGGACAACCCATCCTTGCAACAGTGGGTGTTTTTCTAATTTCCACTAATTCCCAACTTCAGTTGTTAAAGATATTAGATCTGTTTAAATCCAACATGTCAGTATGCTTGATTGTGACCGAAAGCCTAACTGAGTGTAAGTGGTAGGTGCATGATTGGAAATGTAGGGAGTAAAATTATAATGGAGTATTAGGAAAGCATGGGGTCTCTTATTTGGGAATTAGATCATCATGCAGGAGAGACATCAAATGCAAATGTATTTTCTGTTTCCTACTCATACACACCTGCTTCACCAATAACCTTTGGATTGAGCCTAAGTAATACCATTGTGACAGACCCATCCGTATGAACTAGAATTGCTGTGTTCGTCTGTTTGCCGTTTGTATGAATTTCTCCATTCGTATGAGTTGTTTAAGGGAATGTATTTTTTTTGTCGAACGGAACTACCGAACGGACGGCCACCCAGAAGAGAAGTGTGCTGCTGGTTAACCTATTGATCCCAATTAGAACGTTGCGGTTAACCACAGACACTTCTCAATTAAAACCGAATACAGGGTGGTCGTCGTTCGTATGTCGACCACGAGGCGGCGGCCATTTTAACCATGCAAAAGACCAACGGTGTTCGATGGTTATTTCATGGAACTAAAAACGGACAATTAGAACGTTGCGGTTAACCACAGACACTTCTCAATTAAAACCGAATACAGGGTGGTCGTCGTTCGTATGTCGACCACGAGGCGGCGGCCATTTTAACCATGCGAAAGACCAGCGGTGTTCGACGGTTATTTCATGGAACTAAAAACGGACACTTTTTCAACCGAACACCGCTGAAGCCGTCGACCTCCCTTCTCAATCGACAGAAGTATGCGAACACCGGCCGTTCGAGAGGTTTAAAGGCACGAATGGACTTACCCCAGATAACCTTCCCATGGAGTCAATCGCATACCGAAGAACTGTAATAGACTTTGACTCCATGGCGATTGAACTATGTGTGTGGGATCTGAGCACTATTCGCCAATAATATGCACTCAGATCCAGGCTATCTGGGGATGGGTTATACGAATGTAATACGTTCGGCAGTTATAAAGTTATGTATTTTTATGTGTTTTGTGACTTGTATTTAAAATGGCGATTTGCCTCTGCTCTGGGAGATAATTGAATTACTTCTCAATTATCTCCCGAGCAGAGGGGAGGAAACTGTGATGTATGCTGGGAATATTGTGGGGCTGTATGTCTAAAATGTCCCCATGTCCTTCTGCTATTCCAGTCTCCCATTTGGTCCCCTAGGGGAGTGTCCACCAAGTGGGAGACCTGCATAAATACGGGCAGGTAGCCCACAGTAAACTCAGTTCGTGTTTTACCCTCAAAGCGGAGCTTGGTCTCGTTACTGGGGGGATTTTATTACCGGCGACTAGAGACTGCTCATTGGAATTATTTGCCGCTTGGAAGATATTGGCATTCAGTTAATATTGGCAGTTCGTGTATTTGGAGCTCGTGAAGGGAAGGAGCCGTACAGATACCGTTCGGGAGGTTGGAGTGTTCCCTGGCTGGCGGTTCGTGTGGTTATACTGCATACGCTACCAAACCACATTATTGCGAACGGGGAGCATTCACTAAACGGCGGTTTGTACATTTATTACTGGAGGTACCGTAACAACCATATTTTACAGTGCTTGGTTAGAAAATTCACAGTCCTATTTAGCATTATTTATCTCTATCATGTTTATTTAACTGTGGAACGTGCATCTGCTCTTGATTTGGTTATTTGTTCTTGTTGCCCTTACCTTGTTGTAGGTCAATGAA